ACTGCCACCTCTCAGAATTGTGAAAGACGGTAAGTTGGTGTTTTCAGGCATCAAGTTTGGAGGGGGTTTGTTACGCAGCAATGGGTAACGGAAACACCCACTTCTACTGGTTGCAGGAACCTAATTGGGGTCTAAAATGTCTTCTGCTGTCAGCCTTGCTCACCCAGTCCCCAGAACTGCTGTTACAAAGAAGCCATGTCACTTGAAATTGCCTTCTTCACCTTCAGGAGGCACATATTTTTCTGGAACTTTCTCACATCTATCTCCTTTGAGCCTCCCTGTCTGTCCCTCTTCATCCCTTTTCCCTTCACATTCTCCTTTGTGACTTCTGCCTGCCATCAGGCACTTGGGCAGTCTTTTCGCGTAGTTTGGAGTCTGCAAACTATATTTATCCCCTACCTTCATTAAAAACTATTGTCTGGGGGCTGCCTGGTTAGGGTCTGACTTTGACTCGGGTCATGATCTTAGGGCCCAGGGATCGAGCCCCGCATTGGGCTCCCTGCTGAGAGGGGAGTCTGCTTCTCCCTCTCCCTCTGCCGCTCCTCGCCCCCTACCCAACCCGCTCATGCTCTCTCTCTCTCTCTCAAATAAATAAATAAAATCTTTAAAAAAAAAACCTATTGTTTGTGGGGGAAGCGCCTGGCTGGCTCAGTCAGAATAGCATGCGACTCTCAATGTCAGGGTTGTAAATTCAAGCCCCATGTTGGGGTGTAGAGATTACTTAAATAAATGAATAAATGAAAACTTCAAAATGTATTTATATATATTGTCTATGGGATTTTCCCTCCATTTTTCTTGTTGCTTTTAAATGATTTCCAATAGAAGAGAGGGAAATGGGGGTTTCTGTGTAGAGGCCGCTTTTAGGCAAACAGGCTTGGACAATGGAATAGAGAAAGGACCACAGCGACCCCACCCCCACCCCCCACCGAATACACAAAGGCCCAACTGGTGACCCACCTCAAATAGCCACAGGCCCTAACTGACCAGTGGGCTACTTACAAGCAGGCACAGGCACCAAACAAGGGGAGATCCCATAGCGCACCATACCACCTTATATTCCGCCTTTGAACAGCCCCCACCCGCTTCCCGCTGCCCGGACGCAGTCTCTCCTCTCCGTCCTGCGCGCACTTCCTCGCGGGGGATTCAATAAACTTCTTCCGCCTTTGTCCTGCCTCAGGTGAATTCTATCACCCACCGGCTTCCACCTGATCATCGCCCCACACTTGGGGGCCCCCCATCCGATAGAGAGACACCCCATTTAGGCACCATATTCCACAAACACTTGCCTATCGTGAGTCACTACTAGATTTTCAATGGCTACATTCTTTTAAATGCACCATCACCTCTCATCTGCTAACAGACACTCAGGTTGCTTCCAACAGTTCGCTATTCCAAGCAATGCTGCAGTGAGGATCCCTTTACCTAGATCCTTTGTGCCCTCAAACAGGTATTTCTGCAGAATTTTCTACAAGTAGGATTTGGGGGTGCAAGGGCAATGGCTGATGCAGGGCTTTTATGCCACATCAGAATATGGGGAAAGAGCTCCATTTTGCTGGAGCTGAAGCTATAGAGCCCCTTAAGTAAATTCACCTGGCTTCCACTACCCCTAGTAAATCGTTCCAGTGTTGTGTTGCTGGCTATAACGAGCTTGTGAAAGAACTGGACCAGTCCAGTTTGGAAAAACTATGTCATCAAAGAGCTTTTCCATTCAAACCTTCGAGATCTCAAAAGGCAGAGGTGGAAGGATTTTGGGGCGCCTGGGTGGCTCAGTCATTAAGCGTCTGCCTTCGGCTCAGGTCCAGGGTCCTGGGATCAAGCCCCCCCAGGCTCTCTGATCAGCAGGGAGTCTGCTTCTTCCTCTGCCCCTCCCCCACTCACGCTCTCTCTCTCTCTCTCTCTCTCTCTCTCTCTCTCTCAAATAAATAAAATCTTTAATAAAAAAAGAAACTCAATCACAGTATCTGTTGCAGAGCACATGCACAGTGACTGTACATTATCTTAATATAACATAAAAGATCCTTCCGTCCCCCAAATTTTATGGCATCAGAAGAGGTACAGAGAAGACGTGGAAAAAAGGTTGGAGGTTGTCAGCCTCCTAGAAGAGATTTTTTTCTTTTTGGTGCAAAGGCACATAGCTGGGAGCAAACAGAATGGATTGGGGTGGGGAGCGGTGAAGAGTGGGGAGGGAGGCATGGCCAGGGTAAGAAAGTGTGTTTTCCCAAAGGGAAAAGTCCACAGTGGGAGGTAGAACTTCGGTTTTCTGAGAAGTGAGGAGTTGCTGAGTTAGTATCCAGTTTACAGCGTCCGTGGGAGCTCTGCTCTTTCTCTGTGCCCAATCAATCAATAGACACATTCCCAGACCCTGGGGAGGTTTTAACTGATCTTCTAACAGGTACTGACTGATGACTCCTCACCCCCTTGAGCATCAGACAGATGTGTAAAAAGTAATGTCTTGTTTTGGCTTCAGTGTCCCAGGTATGGTTGCACATGTTAAAAAAAAAAATTTCAACCAAGTGAATTTGAAGATCTGATTGGCTTTATTAAGTGATTCATGAATCAGGCAGCACCCCGTGTAGCAAGTGGGGGGGGTCTCCAAAAAGTTGTACAAAATGTAAGGTTTTTATAGGAAGGACAGCGAGGCAAGAGAGTTATTAGCAAAAGATTGTTTTGGGCAAGATGACCTTTCCTTAAGGGGATGGGCAGGGGATCTTATTATGCAGATTACTTCATCTTCCTGGGGGAGTGGGCGGGGGTGGAGAAGGCCCTTGTGACAGATGACCTCATTGATGCTTGTCAGAAAATTCCTGACTGATCAGTTAAGACTACATTTGTAGGGGAGGTTGAAACTGCAGTTAGATTAGGTAGGAAGCCCCAGTTTCCTGACTTGGCCTGGCCCAAGTGACATTCTGGGCCTAGGACATTTTTTGCATTCTGCTTTGCATTGTTACCATCTGGTCACATATGGTCTCCTCTGGACTATAAAGTCCCTGAGGGCAGGAACGTGTATTAGAGTGTGATCATTCTGCCCTTAGTACTCTGGTAGGGTGCCTCTTCTGACCAGCTCCAATGAGGAAGCAGCCTTCTTTAGGCCTGTAGCTGAACTTCTGGTTACACTCAATCCAAGTGATATGGGAAGCAAAGGCAGAAGAAAAATTATTAAATGTCCTCACTAACTACAGCCCACTGACAAGTCCTTGAAACAGGCCGAGTGACATTCCTCTAGGAACTCAGCTGCCTTGATGTTAGTCCTTTGCTAAGGGCAAAAGGCATTCTTAGCCCGACCCCCAGGATCCTAAGCTTACTTTAACATATAAAAATTCCTTTGGAAATTTCCTTTATCTCTACCCCCCAAGATACGTGTTAGCAATCCTCCCCCAAGCATATGACCCACCGATATACATCGGAAGGGTCTCATGACTCAGGTTTTATTAGACAGTAATGAATGACCTTTTCACAACAATAGCTAGCCCCCCTCAAGGTCCTGGAAACCTTGCTCCCAAAATTCCTTAGAGACTTAACACTATCCCTAAGCCCCTCCCAACTTGGAAGTTGGGATATAATCAGCCACTCCTCGCGACCCCAGTGCAGCTTTCTCTGCCCATGGGTCCTGTCCCCGTGCTTTAATAAAACCACCGTTTTGCACCAAAGACGTCTCAAGAATTCTTTCTTGGCGGTCAGCTTCAAACCCTAGTATCTTTCCTACATCAAGAAGGAAAGGAGCTTTGTTGCTGATGTGCTTTGGAGTAGGGTTCGTGAGCCAAGAGTTCGTGAGACGTTTTTGGTGCAAAAAGGTGGTTTTATTAAAGCACAGGGACAGGACAGTTGATTATATACTTTGGAGTCGGGGGAGGTTAAAGACAAGGGAAGTTTCCAAAAGGACTTTCATATGCTAAAAATGACTTACAGGATCCTGGAGGCCTGGCCATTGTCAAGTTAAGGTTGTTTTCCCCTCTAGCAAGGTATTAACATTAAGATAGTTGGGAGATCCCTGGAAGATGTCACACGTGTCCCACCCAGGAGTGGGGGGAGGTTGCACGGTGTCAGCTTGTGCTTTGTCTTCAGCTAGCCTGCCACACACACACACACACACACACACACACACACACTCACACTCACTCACACGGCAGGCCCTGCCCTACGTGCGCCCCTCTTTCTACTTCTGCTGCCCGCCCAGAGCCTGGCTCCCAGCCTGAGACGCAAGGGCAGAGTGCAAGGAGAGCAGTCAGGAAATCAGAGAGAAAAGCCTGTGCATTCCTGCTTCCTTCTCAGCAAGTTTCCCAAGCAATGGGGCGACTCAGGCTGCTGGTGGCTGGGGAATCGGGGCACAAACATCTCTGCGGCAAGGGTTCCCTGAGAGGTGCCTTTTAAGGAAAAAGCCCCCCAAGCTTCTTGAAAGCCCCTCACCATCCCAGCAGGCTTTACGCTCTGCAGAGCATATTCTTCCCCTTGGGACCTGTTCTGTCCAGGTTCGGGAACAAGATAAGGGTTTCCCCAGAATAGGCGAGAAGGACACGGGCCCCTGTCATCTTCCAGAAGAGCCACGGACCCATCGCCTCCCGGAAGCCAGCAGCACACCTGTCCCACAGCCCCTTGAGATCGGCTACCTCTGTCCAGCAAGGAACCGTGACGCTCAACTGTTTCACTACCCGGGTTTGGGGGCAGATGGAGGTGACCCGCTGGGCACAGGAAGGGCATCTTCCCCTGAATGAGAACTGAGGCATCAGGGACTAAACAGAGAACAGGAAGGACCAGACCCGGATCGGTGCAGGTCCTGGACAGGTCCCCCGGGACAGAAGGCCTGTGGAGTGCGCTCAATGGGCGGCGAAGGAGAGAAATGGCTCTCCTGTCCCAGCGGTAGCAAAGTGTTGCAAGGGAAGTGTGACTGACACCTGGGAAGGCTGCAGAGGCGCGGGAGGTGGAGGGCAGGGAAGGCCAGGCAGATAAGGCTCTGGGTTCTCTCCCCTTTGGGGCCGCAGCCAGAGAAACAGCACCAGTTGCATAATCCTTCTATTTGCCCAGAGCCACATTTTGTCCCGAAGCTTGCTGCCCTGGGAGGGGACTGAAGAAGGCACCTAGCAAAGACTGGGCAGAGAAGGGAGTCAGTGGAGAACAAGGGGTGTGCGGGGTCCCCCGGCCTTCAGCAGCCACGCAGGAAGATGGAGGCCCACAATGTGACTGCCCCGCTCAACTTCACCCTCCCACCCAACTTTGGCAAGCGCCCCACCGACAAGGCACTGAGCGTCATCCTGGTCTTCTTGCTGCTCATTATCATGCTCTCACTGGGCTGCACCATGGAATTCGGCAAGATCAAGGCTCACTTCTGGAAGCCCAAGGGGCTGGCCATCGCCCTGATAGCGCAGTATGGCATCATGCCCCTCACTGCCTTCACGCTGGGCAAGGTCTTCCAGCTAAACAACATTGAGGCACTGGCCATCCTTGTCTGTGGCTGCTCCCCGGGCGGGACCCTGTCCAACGTCTTCAGTCTGGCCATGAAGGGGGACATGAACCTCAGGTAGGACTGGAGGTAAGGAGGGAGCCGCCTGGGGATGGAAGCTGCACTGGAGATGTCACAGTCTCGGGAAAGAGCAGGGTCAAAGTCAGGATAGGGAGTGAGTGGGGGTCAGGTGGACACTAGGGCTGGGGGTGGCGGGCATTGAGGCCAGAGCTTATGCTGGGCCGGAGACAGGAGTTGGGGTACATCTTGGTTTAAGCACCAAGTCAAAGGGGCCCAGCTAGTCCAGAGGCCTCCTGAAAACCCCTTTCTTCCAGAGGTGTCTCAGATGGGCCACAAGAACTGACCTGAAGGAGTACTATTTAAACCCGAGAGGCCTCTGGAGAACTCTGCCCCCTTACCGTGTAGGCAAGTTGTCTGCTTTGAGGCCAGAGATCTGAAAGGGAGTGCACAGGGGTTCCAAACTTCTCCAGGGAGATCAAGGTGGTTTAGAACCAAAGACCCTTCCCATCCCTGTAGAACAGGCAAGACTTTTCAAAGATCCTTCCAGCTCTCCAGGCATATGGGACGGCTTCTCTTAACTTCCCCCATGGGCCCGTCAGACACAGGAACACATCCATGCAAAGACATAACCAGGCAGATTCTAGAGTTCCCCGGTGCTGGCACAAGCCATGCTGGGCTGCATGCACCTCAGCCAAACTGGTAGGGGTAGAACCCCTCACCCAAAGCATCACAGCAGAAATCTGGGCTCGCTTCTGTAGGGGCCGGCTGAACACCTGTCCTTCCAAACAGGTGGGACTCTGATCTAGAACGCCTGCCAGAGTGAGGCCATTTCAGACCTGCTCCAGCCTCAGCAGCAGCCCACGCTGGCTGAGGGAAAATCACCAGCAAAAGCCCTTGCCTCTCTGTGAGCCTCCGTCTCCAGCCTGCCCCCTCCGAGGTTCAGTCCCCAGTGGAGACCCCATCCCGTGCCAGGCAGGGCAGTGGGTTCGGACAGCGCGGCGGCTTGTGCTGGCTAGCTCCCTGCCAAACGTGCTAAGCACACCAGCCAAGTCAGGTGATGCAGAGGAAGGCCACCGATCTTTAAGTGAAAAACCAAGAGTGAGTGGGTCTTCACTGGGACCCCCTTCTGAGCTCCAGACTCTCTACCCATGTGACTTAGCCCTCACTGAGGCAGTTGATGGGAAGACAGGCACAAAAAGGGGGGTTGGCTTGTGCGGTCTCCCATGGGAACATGTTCAATGTTCAGCTACCTGTGAGGAAAGTCTTCCCTCTCTCTGATCCAAATCCTTCCTGCTGCAAAGCAAGCCCTCCGTCTTCAATCTGCCCTGTGGACAAGGCTCACTACAGCCCCTGCGTCCTGAGAAACCCGGACCGCAGCTTCATCCCAGTGTCGAAGGGCTGTTTGTAGGTGTGAGTGACCAGATGTCCCAGCCTCAGCAGCCCGTGGGTGCCAGCGAGGTGCTGCAGCATGCCTGCCCCTGCCAGGTCCGAGCCCACCACCAGCCCAGCCTCCAGCCACGCGGGGACACGAGCCCTCCTGCTCTGCTGCTCGGCCTCCTTGCCTGGGCCTCTGGGGACCCTCCCTTCTACGAAGAGCCCACAGAGAAATGCTGGGATGCCCGCCTTCTGCCACAAAGCCCCTTCCCACAGACAAGCCCCCACGCGCGTGAAACCATGCCTCAGACCCCAGCAGCAGAGCATGTGTCTCACCATCTCCCTTCACGGGCTGCCAGACTTTAACTTACAATTGGAGTTCATCTGGGACAACTCCTTACGTTAATTACGATGAAATGATACTGATCATACAAAACAGCCAGGCACTGCAGCAAGCGCCTCCCATGAAATCCTCATACGGCCTCCTGGGAGGAGGTGCTGTGCGGAGTCCCATTTTAAAGATGAGGAAACTGAGCCACAGAGAAGCTAGTACATTTGTCCAAGGTCTGGGAGGCTCCAAATCCTGTCCTTTCACTCAGATACCTTCAGGGCCAGGCATGAATATAAGGGAACAAAGTGGCTGCAGGTGGCCCGCCAGCCGTGGGGCACGGGCCCCCTGCGCAGGCCGGATGCCACGGGTCTCTGCCGTGGGTGTTCTGTGGGAGCGCGGAGCCGCCGCCGCCTGCTTCCTGCTTTTCAAGAGAAGGTAGAGTCTCCCTTTTTACAGGAAAACTCCGAAGTTTTCCCTATTGGCCACTCATTAACATTTTTTTTTAAAGCCCTGTGCAAGCCAAACGGAGTATGTGCCGGGTCAGAGGCTACCAGTCAGGACCTCTCTCTAAGCACAACGCTAGACGATTTCCCCTGTAGAGTTGGGGCGAATCTGACGACCCCGATTCCGCTTTATAGATCAGGAGCTGAAGTCCAGAGACTTGCCAGAGGTTTCCCAGAACTTGCGGGAAAGTCGCGTCTGGAGCCAGTCCCAGGCTCTCCTGCGGGTGTTGCTCCTCACAGCTGGGGTGAGTCCGCGGCGGCCGCCATCACAGGCCGGAGGCCACCTTCCGGGAGGCTGGGCCGCGGGGAGGGCAGCCACGGCAGCTCCTTCCTCGAGGCTGCCACCACACACCAGCTCCCAAGAGTACAGGGGGCCCACAGGCGAGGGAAAATGCCCTCAAAGTTGAAGTGAGCTTGGCTATTCAGAGACAGAGGAGAGTGCCAGAGGGCCATGAGCTCTTCCGACCGCCTTTGCTGCCCCTCACGTTCAACCAGCGCGCAGGCCTCCCCCCGCCCCCCACGTGGGAAGCCTAACCAGGAATTTCACACTTCACCAGAGGCTGTCAGGTACCCCCACGCTCCCTCAGCTTCAGCCTCCAGTGCCTTTTTTTTTTTTTTAAGATTTTATTTATTTATTTGACAGAGAGAGACACAGCGAGAGAGGGAACACAAGCAGGGGGAGTGGG